CATAAATAAATATGAGTGTAAAATAAGGGTTAATAAATGAAAGGTAGTGAACCAAATCCCCCTTTATATATTTGGTTTTTTTTGCCTTAATCAGTTATGGAGTTAGTAGAAAAAAGGAAATCATGCAAAGGGGTTATTTCCTTATTTGTAACCCCACGCCATTCAAGAACCCATATCCAAGAATGATTTTGGCTGTGAAAATAGCAAAAGGTCCCTTTCTTTTCTTTCTTTTTCTTCTCAAGAAATGTTCAAATAAGCCACTTATTTGTGTGTGTGTGTGTTTTGGAGTTGGTTACACTTGCAAACGTCACAAGAGAGAGAGAGAGAGAGAGAGAGAAGAGGGTTTTAGCATACGTTGTTTTTTGTGGTGATGATCATTATTGATTTTCAGTCCTTGCAGTACAATTGCTTCTTCTAACTCTCCAAAACCAAAAGCTGGTCCTTCTTGATTTCTTGTCAAAAAAAGAAAAAAATTAATCAAAATCGTGAATATAACATGGAATTCTTGATTCACATGAAGCATGATGTGTATTTCCTTGATACTTAATACCACATATGAATGAAAAAAGTAAAACAAGAAAATGAAAGCACAAACTAGTGTGAAAGAGGCTCAAANACTGGAAAAAAAAAAAAAGAAAAAGAAAAACTAGACGATACTATTATTTTGCTTACATATATGGTGTGTTAAGCATGTGATGAGGAACTGCAAATGGGATATGGTGATGGCTGTGTGAATTTCCAGATTCAGGTAAAGAAGGTTCTCCAACTCCATGAGTTGCCATGCAAAAAAATATATACTAAAAAAAAAAAAAATCTCTCTTTTCTCTCAGCTTATTTTCATAATTTTCACAAACAAGAAACTAATACAAAATCAATAAAAAGAGGGAAAAGGAAAATGATTAATTGATTATATAGTTTAATAAAAAAATTTTGATGCCGTGAGAATTTCAAGATCAGGAAAAGGCAAACTTTTCTTTGGGAGGCCAAAGAGAAAAACTACTCAATTAAGATATGTGTTCACTTTTTTAAGATGGGCAAAAAATCAAAGCATTTCTTTGTAAAAGTACATACACATACATATATAGGCACAATATTTGTAGCAGAGAGGGGTCCAGTCCTTTTTTTTTTTTCTCATTTAAAAATAAAACAGTGGAAATTATGCAAATTTTGACATCTTGAGGGGTCTCTATCCAAACTTAATTTTCAAAATTTCTCTCCTTCTCATTGAAGAAAGAAAACTGTGTCTGATTATTCTGTTTGAAAAATGATGCCTTTCTTATCTATTTGGGAAGAGGGCCGGGTAGTAGGTGATAATAGGGAGGGTAGTATTAGTAATTATTATTATTATTTTGATTATTATTATTTAGTAATAATAATAAAATGAAACTCAATATCCCATGGTACACAAAATCTTGTCCTAAAGAACTTGTCTGAGACTCTCATCATCAGCCTTTTGGCAAACAATATTATTAATTTTTGTAGTTGAAATTTAATATTATGCAATGAAAGAAAGATTATTTTGTTGTTTCTTTTGTTCTACATATGAAGAAAGAAAACAAAACCAAAAAATAAAAAATGTGGGGCCTTTGTCAGGAAAGCACTAGAAAATTACTGACTCCTACTCCCACTCTCCCTCCAACCGCCTGTGTTTTCTTATTGGCTCTTTTATTAATGGGGCTCATAAAATAAAAGTATCAACTCCAATGAAAAAAAAAAATATATATTTAGATCAATTGATGTAATTAAGTGACATTTTAAGTGTAAAATGAGTGAAATATTGCACTATATATAATTCAATAAAAATAAATTCGAGGACTCAAGACAGGTCACAATTTTGATATAGACTTGTAAGAATTTCCACACAATTTAAGAAAGTTTTATTGCTTTTTGGAAGAAAAAAAAAATAAATTGAACCATCTAAACCGAATATTTATTATATTATATGACTGTTTCATTGGTGGTTATATAAATTAAACATGGGGAAATTATATAATTTGACATTATAAATATTGTTTTACAAAACAATGTGTGTCTCCCTGGGTACACACAAAATAATATTGTGGCCTATTTCTATTAGGAAATCTGATTGCACAAACATTGTTTTGTATCATAGTAAAAATCATGCAATTATTCAACTTGAGTAGTAGAATTGAGACAAGGGTTGCATTCCGAAGTTAATTAAAAAAGGTAATAAAAGCTGCAGAAAAAAAAAAAAGTTAGAGAAAAAGACCTTTTGTTTCTGATTTTTATACGGCAGAGGCAACAGAGTTTACTTTTGATGTTAATTTGAGAATTTGACAACTCACAAACCCTACACTTATTTATTATTATTATTGGTCACATATAATTAGAAGTTACTTTTTATAGCCTCTTTACCAAAAACAATTAAGATAAATAAATAAACAAAAACAACCAATATTAAGAACATCCACTTGCTACTATTATTAATTAATACAAAGCTTCTAAATGGATTTGTTTGATATTATTATCTACTTTAATTGTTGATAGGTCAACATCAGTTTGCCAGTCACTCCCATGCCAAAATTAATAAGATTCTTTTTTCCCTTGATCAGAAATATTTTCCCCAGGTATATTTATCTGAGTTTGTGTTTAATCATAGTTCTGATAATCATATTGGACCGACCGATCGGGTCGTAGGATCGGTTCTCAGTTCCCTAATTGGTTTGGTTCTCTTGGAAAAACCGAAAGAATTAGTGTTTGACCAATTGAACCGGTGGATTGTGTTTATTTATTTATTTTCTTGTAAAATTAGTTTAGATGTTTTGAATATAAGTAAGCATATAATGTTTTAGATATGTGTAAATTATGAAAAATGTTACATGTACATAATAAATGTATATAGAGGTGTACATAACACTCACATGGAGTGGGGTCCACTTGATTTTTTTATTTTTGATAGGTCTCACTCAATGTGAGTGTTATGTACACTCCTATGTACAATATTATATACATATAGCATTTTCTGTAAATTATTATACCAAATTAGTTTAGACATTTGAATATTTCAAATTATCAAAATACTTATATAAAATGTTAATGCTTAAGGTATATATTTACAAATATTTATAAATTATGTGTTGGTTCAATCACTAGTAGAATTATTAAATCAATAACTTGATCGGTTTGAAATTCGATTCTCATAACCTTTGTTTTAACACTTTTCACTATAAATCTATTTTGAGTTAGCCAGCAGTGGCCACCGGACACAGATTCGGGCGAGCCAGATGCGCAAGACCAAGGGCCGTCGGAAGGGGAGACGCGCCCAAAGAAAGTCAGAGGATCTAGGGCACGACGAGTGATGCCATTTGAACTATCTATCTATATATATATATATATATATATATATATATATATATTAAAAGAGGTTAATGAAATAATCTAAAATAATAACTTTGACTTTGTAATTAAATGAATTGACTTACTATTAAAGAAAATATTGTATAATTTACTTTAATATTTATGAGAAATAAATGAAAATTAAGTTATACGGACCTGTTGTAAATCGTGCAATTTCGTCAATAGTACAACTTTCTATATAACTAAAGTGGTATCCATTTTAAAAATTATATTTTGATAATTATCACAATAAAAATTTAATTCTTCATATTAATTACGGATCACTAGAAAATTCTTATTCTTTTGGTAACCAACCATGCAACGTGTATTCAGAAAAGCATATATCAAATAGGTTTTTATAAAAGATATTATTTGAATATGTGATATTGGAAACGATACCTAAGGAAATAAATTGGTCGATGAGGCCGAGTGGACCACGTGGTCGAGCAGAATCGCATCAGGGTCGGCGGTGGTCGTACATCACCTAGTCAGGACTAAGAGCCTTCGATCTGGAAAAGAGCATAAGAGATGCAAGGCAACAACAACAGGTCGAGTTAGGGCCTTTGGAGGGCCTGGTAGAAATTCGATCTGTAGGCACGGTTGGTTGTATGATCGACCAGAAGGAGCAGCACTTGGACAACTAGTCTTCTACATCAGAAGACCTCGAGCTGGTCGCACTACTAGGTGGTCCAATATTAAGGGATAAGAAAAAATCTTGCCATAATTAAGGCTACACGTGGCACTACCCGATTGGTCCACACCCTGCAACCGCCTCTGACTGCGGGTTGTACTATCGAGCAACTCGAGAAGCTTGGGCAGCCAGCTCACCAAATCCAAGCAGACTTCTAGAAACAGGTAACCCTCCTCTATAAATATTAAATTATTTAATATATAAATTATATATTAAATTATTATATATCATAAAATAAAATAAAATAAATTAATATTAATATTCAACACTATTTTTATACTAAGCAACAACTTTTCATTGGTTTAATACACGAATTTATAATTATTGTCTCGTGCATCGCACATGCTACGTAATAGTTTAGTCCGAATTCCACTTCGATTCCTGCCGAATTTAGATAATAATTAAATATAACACTTTTTTCCTGAAAAAAACATAAATTTCGTCAATCTTTGACAGTGTTATTATATCGTGTAATATATTTATCTATCATGTGCATTTGTCCGTGACTCCATGGTTAATTATGTCTTTGGTAGCTGGCTAGTGAATTTACATATATTCGGGCCTTCGTGGCATTGAGGTCCACTTTCAACGAATTCGGTATTATGTTTGCTAGATAATGTTCCCATTTCCACATTGTGTTTTTATGTTTATGAATAATAACAAAACCAGTTATGGCCGCCATTGTGTTATCTGTCCCTTTGCTAGTGCAAATAATAGTAAGAGTGAGTTTATATTCCAGACAGTGCTAACTATGGAAAATATCATAGAATTATATATTATTATGCTATATTTATTAAAATAGTGTGCTATATATCTTGGCATATTACTAAATAAGTCTATTATGTTTTCACCATTTTCAAAATGTTGATGAGGTATTAAGATAGAAAATCAAAATGGAAATTAATCTTCTCATTGAACATAATCAATCAAAACTAAAGAGTTTGTGTATTGACCGAGAGCACGAGGAGTCGATAAGAATTTGACAAAACGGTAAAATAACATAATTTAACCCTACTGGAGTCTTATTATTAAGTACAAGTGAATGAAAGCTGTTACTCAAATATAAAAATGTACCATTTATTAGAAATGAATAAAATATCTAATATTTATTTTATATATCAATATTCCCTGCAATAGAAACATGGTCATCTGCTATTTGGTCAGGCATATATTGAAGTTTGATGACAACTTCGAACATATTTTCTCTGATCCAATATGGCAGGCAGTCTATCTCTATATTTGGCTAATGATACTGATCAGAACAAGCAAAACATGTTCATAATGAGAAATATGAAAATCATTCAATAAATGTAGGAGCCATTGAGCTTCACACGTTGTAGAAGTTAATTCCTATTTTCAACATAGAATCTACTAATGGCAACTTGCTTCAAGATTAACAAGAGATAAAATGATTTTTCTATAAAAAAAAAAAAAATAATATTAACTCCTTCTACTATCAATATATTCAACCCAATCACTGTCACAGTATCCTTTAAAAATTAAATTTGAGTTTATGAATAGAAAATCTCATCGACGCTTTGGGTCAAATTTCGGGATGTCCGACCCCATCACACTTTCATCATTTGAGATGTTTGATCCCGCTTTTACTTGAATGTTCTTCTTCCTCTTCCTCAAGTATGAAATCCGAATTGGACTCTTGTTGATTTTTTGGAGAATCAACAATTTTTGCTTTATCTTTATTGTCTCTAACCCTTGCCTTCTTCCTGTCGTCAGGCATTTTTTTTTTTTTTTGGTTGTTTGATTTTGGGTTCGGACACACAATCATCGTCTCCATCGAAATTAACTCGGCCGTCTTTGCAGTCCGTTTTTTTTAACCTCTTGGAGCTTCAATTTTCTAAAATTGGAGTTTATTTTGGATGACCTTAGGCTCAGGTGCTTGAAATTGAGATGTTTGACGAGATCGAGAGCGAGTTAATCTTGCTTCGTCTTCACTGTTGACGGATTTGACCTTGATTTTTCTTCGCTTGGCCGTTGAAGATTTTGGGACTGAGAATAGGTTTTTGTGTGGTTAGTGAAGATAGACTTTTTGTTAGATTTTGCTTAATTGCTGTCTCACATCGGATGTATACCAAAGATGTGTAGGATTTTATTAGTATAAATAGGTCCCTTGCATTTGGGTTACAATTGCACCTTATTT